GATCCACATCCATGCAACAAAGACATGTGCTCAATTATGTTCATAGCAGCATTATTTGTAATAGCAAGAACCTGGAAACAACCTAGATGCCCCTCAACTGAAGAATGGATAAAGAAGATGTGGTACATTTACACAATGGGATACTACTCTGCAGAAAAACCAATGGAATCTTGAAATCTGCAGGCAAATGGATGGAACTTGAAGAAATCATCCTGAGTGAGGTAACCCAGTCACAAAAAGAGGAACATTGTATGTATTTGCTCATATATGGATTTTAGAAATAGAACAAAGGATCACTAGCATATAATTCACACCACAGAGAAACTAGGATACAAGAACAAACCTAAGAGATTCATACAAGGTCCCTCACAGAAGGGGAAAGGAACAAGATCTCCTGAGCATATTAGGAGTGTGTGTGTGTGTGTGTGTGTGTGTGTGTGTGTGTGTGTGTGTGTGTGTGTAGCAGTGAGTTGAGAGGGAGTTAGGAGAAAGAGAAGGTGAGGAGAACATGTGGGACCAGGAAGATTGAGTCGGGGACAAATAGACGAGAGAGAGAGAGAGAGAGAGAGAGAGAGAGAGAGAGAGAGAGAGAGAGAGAGAGAGAGAGAGAGAGACCATAAGAGAGGGAGTCATTATAGGTTTGAAGAGAAAACTTACTCTAGATAAATGTTCAGAGACCTACAAGAATGACCCCAACTAACAATCTGAGCAACAGTGGAGAGGCTACCTTAAATGCCCTTCCTTGTTAATGAGATTGATATTTAACTTATATGCTATCATAGAGCCCTCATCTAGTAGCTGATGAAATCAGAAGCAGATACAGCTAAACACTGAGATGAACTCCTAGAATCCAGTTGCAGAGAGGGAGGACAAGACCAGATTACAGAAACCCACAGAGACAGCTGAACACGGGGGAGCTCGTGGACCCCCAGCCTGATTGCTGGGAAACCAGCCTTGGACTGACTCAGACCCTCTGAACCTGAGTCTCAGTTAGAAGGCCTGGGCAGTCTAAGCATCCTCTGACAGTGGAACCAGGATGTATCCCTGGTTCACGAAAGGACTTTGGAAGCACATTCCCCATGGAGGGATACTCCATTAACCTAGAGGCAGGATGGAGGGCCTAGTCTCTACTCCAAATGACTTGACACATTTTGATGATCCCTCCTGGAAGCCCTCACACTCCATGTTGAGGAGGGGAGGGACTGGATGGGAGGAGGGCTGGGGGGCATGGGAGGGAAGGAGAGGGAACTCGGATCGATATGTAAAATAAGAAAAAAAATAACATATATATAACCACTACAACAAAATAACCACCAATATTAACTCTCAGTTTTTCAAAAAAGAGATGCAGACTAACAGACTTCATAAGAAAAATAGGACACATCCTTTAAGTACTTCCAAGAATTGCACCTCAGTATCAATAACAGACACCACCTTCCAGTGAAAAGGTCAGAGAAAGTATTTCCAAGCAAAGTGAAGTAAGAAACAAGCAGATGTAGCTATTCTAATAGCTGGAAAAATAGACTTGAAACAACCTTATCCGAAGAGATCAGGAAGGACACTGCATGTTCATCCATGGGGAGGGGGGTGAATCAAACCAAGACAGTGTCCATTTCCACAAAAGAAATACCATTAGATTGACTCCAAGTGGGTGATGGCAGGTAACTTCAGTGCCTCATTCTTTTCAATAGACAGGCCACCCAGAAAGAAATAAAACAGAGAACTCTGGAGTCAAATGGATCTAGTAGACAAGAGCACTGTACCCCAAAACTAAAGAGTATATTTTCTTCACTATGGAAGAAGTGAACTGTCTTCTTAATTGATCACAATTATAGCACAAAGTGCCAACAGGTATAGGAAAACTGAAATAAGACTGCATTCCATCTGACCACAGAGGAATAAAGCTGGATATCAACACCAAGTGAATTATAGACAGTACATAAAATTATGGAAACTTATCAACACACTACTCAATGACAATTGGGGCAAGGGAAAAATTAAGAAAAAAATTTAAAATTCCCAGAACTTAATGAAAATGAAAACACAACATGCTAAACATATGGGCACAATGAAGGCACTTGTGCTGGCTAATTTCTTGTCTATTTGACTCAAACTAGAGTCAGTTTGGAAGAGGGAGCCTCAACTGAGGAAATGTTCCAACCAGACTGGCCTGTGGATAAGCCTTAATTCATTTTCTTGGTTGTGGGTGGGCCCATCTCTGGGGGGGGGGGTGTCTTAGTGAGGAGTAAGCCAGTACAGCATTCTTCAGGGGTCTCGGTTTTAGCTCCTGTCTCTAGATTATCACAGTCAGTTGCTGCCCTGACTTCACAGGAATCTTAACTACAAGCTATGAAATGAAATAAATCCTTTCTTCCCTACATTGCTTTTTGTCATGGAGTTTTATCATAGCAATAAAAAGCTGACCAAAACAGCAGTCTTGAGAGGAAATTTATCACACTAAGTACCTACATTAAAACTTTGAGATCTCACAGGGTGGTGGTGGTGCACGCCTTTAATCTTAGAACTTGGGAGATAGAGGCAGGTGGATCTCTTTGAGTTTGAAGTCACCCTAGTCTACAGAATGAGTTCTAGGGCAGAAACCTTGTCTTGAAAAAATAAATTGAGATATCCAATACTAGATAGGACTTGGATCCCAAGAGAGATCATACTTCTATTATTCTGTTAAACGCAGATGGTATTAAATGGATTACTAACGACAGTGACATACTCATTTTCTGAGAAGTTTCTTCCTGCTGTAGATGGTGATTAATGTGGTGTATTGGCTGGTTTTATGTCAACTTATCACAAGCTAGAGTCATTGGAGTAGAAGGAGCCTCAGTTGAGGAAATGCCTCCATGAGATCCAGTTGGAAGGCATTGTCTCATTTAGCTCTCAGTGAGTGATGCCATCCTTGGGCTCATGGTCCTGGGTTTTATTTGCAGCTCTCCTCCCTATCTTCTGCATCAGTTCCTGCCTCCAGGATCCTGACTTCCTTCAACAATCAATAGCAACATGGAAGTGTAAGCCAAATAAACCCTGTCCTCCCAACCTGCTTTTTTGGTAATGGTGTTTTATCATAGCAATAGAAACCGTAACTAAGTCACATGGATACCCACAATTGTAGACTAAGAGCCTGAGGAGTGCCTATCCCTAAATGGGGATCTACATTTCACTCCCTTCTCGAAGGCTCAGGGATCATTGGAGAATAGGGGGTTGGGGACAGAAAGAGGCCGAGAGTCAGAGGTGACAACAGCAAAGCAGTGTTTTCCAGACATAACAGCCCAGCTGCACACACGAACTCACAGCAGTTGTAACAGCATACACAGGTCCTGCACAAGTTCCAGCTAGACAGAACCCTCAGGTGCAGGGGAAGCTGAGCAGGAAGTCCCACCTGAGCTGAGGAGCTACTGGCAACGGACAACGGCTGGGAAGGAAGTCAGTTCTCTTTACGGAGTGAAGCCTGGCAGGCTGACCATACTCCCGGGATTCATCACACCTAAGAGTACTTGGGCAGCATAGATGGACAGGATGCATTTACAACCAAAATAGGACACGAAGCTGGGTAAGTAGGGAGATGAAGATAGATCTGGGAGGAGTTTGGTGAATGTGGTAAGTATGTGCAAGATATATTTATGAAATTACCAAATAATTAATAAAAATATTATTTAAAAACAAGTAGGAAGTAGAAATTTAGCTAATCTCCCACTTTCTAGCCCTAAGAATTCTTAAGGCTGAGCTGACAGAAAGTGCTTTAACCCTACGGACCAAAACTCATCATGTATTAGCAACTTCCTCTCTGCAACCTCTGTGGGGCTTTAGTTATAGACTACATATATGTATATAGACACCAACATAAATACAAAATACAAATAGTGGTACTCATAAGCCACATTTAAAAGTGGATACTTTCTTATATTTTTGGTTGTGAGCAGCCTTTAACAGTTGAGCCATCTCTCCAGCCCTAAAAATGGATACTTTCTTATTGCAAAGATTGTATTTTGTTGCTTAATAAAATTGTTTTTGTATAATAGAAATGCCATGAAGGTTACCATTTCTATAAAAAGCAGATTAGGCATAAGGGAAATTCTAAGTCATATAATAGAAAATACACTCAAAGATAAGCTAATGTCAGCAACCACAGAGAGGTTAAAAAAAAGTCCTTTAGACTCAGATTGCTATTAAACTTGGACACTCAAGACGAGCAGACAGCTTTGGCAACAGAACTCACAGACAGACTGACTGACTCAGAGACAGTTTGACAACTGCCAACAAGACTGTTGGGAGAGTTTCCAAAGAGCCAAAGGCTGGGATTGCCATCCAGTGTCTGGCATTCTGATACTTGCATTTGAAGCTTTCTCTCTTACTCTTCATCCAATATTTTTGTTTGGCTCATAAACAGCAAGGATTCACAATTTTTTTTTAGATCATTAAATGTTCTTATTTTCAAGAAATATAACATTAGTTGAATTGCTTTATACTCAGATAGAGAAATTAGTGGTAAAGTCTGTCTGAATTTTTATTAGGTTACTTTTAAGCTATAAACTAGAACCACACATAACACACACACACACACACACACACACACACACACACTCTCTCTCTCTCTCTCTCTCTCTCTCTCTCTCTTCAGCACACCATTTGTGATCAGTCTTTAGTACAGCTCTTCTCTTCCCGATCCTCATGGACCCAGAAGCTCTGCTTCAGTGAGTCAGCCCCTGAGAGGGTCAGAGGTAGGGAAGTCTGGCTGTACGAAGCAGTTAGGCCAGTGTTTCCTTAGGATAACAAGAAGGCAGGAGGTGAAGACAGGTGAAGATGACCTGCTGGGGAACACGGGCACTGATGGGTTAGTTTCTCAGGACAATCCATTTGTTAACACCCTGGCCAATGACATGTGTGAACTCTGGCTTACAACTTCTAAAAATCATTAGCAATGTATCAGATGGAGATCTCCATTCTTCACACAACTTAAAATTATACATACTTTCCCCAAGAAAGCTTACCTTTGGGTCTCTAAGGAACAGAGCCTTAAGAATCAGTGAATGTATGTCCCCGATGAGTGGATAATGCATCAGAAGGCCGAGACAGGTCTGGTAGTTACTGGAAATCACTAAATAAGAGGGAAAAAGAATTCAGTACTATGTATGTGGTGAAACATAAGAAAATAACCGAAAGCCAAAGCAAGTGATGCAATAACTCAGATGATTTGACAAAAGTTGTCCTGAGCAGAGGTCTCCCTCAAATGCCCTCTGGATCCTGCATTTCAGCTGTGACCTAGCAAACCTCCACTACCGGCAGCGAGGGGCACAGGAAGAATACAGACACAGTCCTGAGTATTTGCAACATAAATATAGTCTTAGATGCTTGATTATCTGCTGCGATTTATAGAGCTACCTTTGCTGAGAAATTTGTAACAGTTAAAAACTCTAATAAAATAGTACTTACCTTGATCACTATGCTTCATAATTTATACCATGCTCATCCTTTCATATATGTATCACATAACTCAAAACTAAAAAAAATAATTTTTTCTACAATTATTCGTTTTTCTAAGAGTAAAAAGAAACTTAGAGAGTATTTATATAGGATTTCTTGGAGGAGAAAATATTCCATTATCAGCTTTCCTTCTGAAGACTGTTTTCAAATCAACGTAATTATGGGCACAATTACTAACAGTCTTTTAAGACAGGTATGTATAAGCTATCTGTCACCACAGTCACGGCTGGGCCCATTAATGACACTTGTTTTGTAAGCCAGGATAACTGCTTCTGCAACACTGACTGTGGGGGAGCTTCATAAGAAGTTACAACTTGCTATAGTTGTTAACTAAGTCTTGTCCATTAATAAATTACTTGAAAAAAAAATGTCCCACAGGAAAACATCTGTGATTTAAGGGAAATAAGACAGACAAAATACTGATTATAACCAGAACCAGAAAAGTCCTGATTCTTTTTTTTTTTTTTTTTTTTTTTTTTCTTTTTCTTTTTCTGCAGCTACCATGCTCCCTCCTGTAAGTGCTGTGGAAAGGAGACTAGAGCAAAGTGAGCAAAGATACACCGCTTTGTCATCTCCCTCCCCATTGCTGATTTGACAGCTTGTAACATCAACTGTCTGCTTTCATGTGTAAGAGCTCACTTACTCTCCCTGCTCTGTCCCTTCAGGCGACTCTTACTTGTTCATTTCTCCATATTCACATCCAGCTCCCAGTTATCTATTTTCTCTAGAAATTATAAAAGCTACGATATAATGGTACAACGTTTTAATGTATAGTTTTCATTTGAAGTGAAGAAGTTAAAAAAAGAAAAGACAGGTATTTGGTAATTCCAAAAGTTATTTTCTCAAATGTTCTAATCATACTCAGTTTTAGTAGCTGGCCAGGAAATAATTTTTACACATCTTGTAAGAGAAGTAGAGATCTCTGTGGAACCTATTTTGGCCGCAATGTTCAAATTTGAATCCGAGGGTCCTACTGGAGTCCTTTTTAAGGTGGCCTAAAGTGAGACGCAAAGATTGTTTGGCAACCTCTCTGATACAATGTTTATTCTTCTGAACAGTTTTATGATTTTAGAACACTGCTTTCATCATTCCATGCAATGGCTCTTTAAGTGCCCGCCCTGCAGTGGTCAAGCAAAACCAGGACACAGAGGCCAACAGGGAAAAGTTTTTGTCCAGGAGACAATCCAAGGTGCAAAGCCAACAGTGGTTCCACCAAGAGGGTGGGTCCTAAAGGCTTTGGGGCAAGAATTTAGGCTTAGGACTTTATGTGTTTTATCTCATTTTATTACAGGTTTAGAATACTTTTCCTTGTATTACACATGCAAAGAATGGTACTTGGTGAAGGTAAATCATTTGTTCAAATCATACAGTGATTCCTTGGGGGTAGCATGATTTAAAATTCAGAGTCTGTACTCTATGTAGTTATATAAAGCCACTTTAAAAATATTGCTCTGAAATAAAATGATACGATGGATACAGATGTCAACACTAAGTCCTGTAACATCATTACTCTAATAGGTAGGTTAAATACCCTGAAAGGCCAACCTTATTGAGTCTCTAGCTGGCTATAACCGGGCATTATTTGGAAGAACCAGCACATACTGTTACCATAATTATGAAGTTATTAGACTTCAAAGTGCAGAAGGCAAGACAACAATGTGTTAAGATTCTACTCGGAGAACAAAGAAGCCAACAATTTTTTTCTTGCATCTAGTCACATGCATCTCACTGAATTAACATTTCTTAGGCATCTATTATATGTCAGTCACTCAGACTACTGATATACCAAAACTAAGGATCTTACAGCAGGTAAGCCTGAATCTCGGGCTTTCAATTAATGCCATTTTTCAAGTTACTACTGAAACACCTGTACTTTTAGAGCACCTTTAATCTGCAATTACATTAATTTAAGTCCCACTATAACTTGCCCAATGTAGGGTAGGCAGAAAAACTACAGAAGCTTGCTTAAACCCAGAGGCCAGGGATCTGGAAACACTAAGAGTTTAGTTTTGCTCCTTCTCTACCCCTTCCTTCCTCCAATGCTCTCTCCTTCCTTTTTATAATAAACTGTGTGGAGTATAACCTAGAGCTTCATACATGCTAGAAAAGCACTCAACCATGGAGCTACCCCCCCCAGAGGTTTTGGTCTTTATAGTAAATTTTTGTTTACTACAAGATAAATGCAATATTGTTCCTTATCCAATTGGAACAATTGTTCTACACCAGCAGGTAGTAGTGACAGGGCAAAACCCTGGCTATTTTAACCTCCCCCCCCAATCAGTGCTGCTCAGAGTCACCCCAGTGTTTGCCTTCAAAGCACAATGAAGCATAGACACATTCTGTTCAAATGCACTCACTGTATTTATTACTTATTAATACTTACTTATTGTTTGTTTGTTAGTTTATGTTTTGCCATATCAATAACAAAGTTATACCAGGCTGGCCTTAAACTCACAGAATCCCACCTGTTTAGGCCTCTGGAGTGTTGGGATTAAAGGCATGCACCACCATACCTGGCCACACACACACAAAAAAAAAGCTCTTTTTGTATGCACATTGGTCATAAAAAGCCACCAAGGGCTTTCCTAGCCAGAACTCTTCAACTAAACCTCTTCTAATAGAATAAAGACTCCTTTGAGTAACTACCAGCAATACTAAAGAAGCACCTCTAACTTTGTTAACAGTTTCCTGTTAACCTTTGTGCCTGGTACCTGTGTAGCAAGTGTACCCCAGGCCACCAGCCCTTCCTGCTCTTGAGTGACCCCACGGATTGGAGAGTCTTTCTTTGTGCCTCAGCACAAAGGAAGAGTCTATCTAAAGGGTTTCTATGTGAGTGGCACAGATGCTGGGGACACATGCCCCCTCTTTCTCAATGTCTCTAACAAGCAGTACCAGCTTCAGTCACATGGAGTAAAGCTGATTTATCTGTCTCTGCTCACAACTATTCTAAAGTGGTCTAAAGGAATTGGTCTATATAAGTTTTTTTTTTTTCCCCTAGGAGAAATAATAACAAAATGTAGTAAAGTCAGTAAATATAAGCAGAGATGTGATTACACTGAGGATTTGAAAACAACATAAATAAATACTTTATGTACAGCTCACTGCTGGCTACCTATAACTATAACATTTATGAATACTTTTCTCCAAACTATTTAATTTTATATGGAGATACAATTTCTCAGAGTAACAAGGCAGATGGAAAATTACTAAAAAACTGAAACATACACTTCCTGTAATGTCCTTAAAATTCAAAACAATAGCTATCACCTCCCAGGTACTGACAGCATGACCGGGAACTTGCAACATATCGGATATCTATCCCATCAGGCCCCACTCCCTCTAAAGAAAAGCACCCAGCCCATATACTCCCTTCTACAGAGGAAGACATGGTGGTACAAAGTAGACAACAATACGCCCAGGCCAAGGGCTCCTGACCGTCTGTTAAAATGAAAGCCTTAGCATTTACCAGTGTCTAATGTTTTCCTCCATTCTTAGCAGACAGCATTTTGACAAGGGTGTCTATCTAGAGAAGAAAAAGAAGACACATTGCAGATGGCTTCTAAAAACTCTGTTTCAACCTCAGAGAAGCCACAAATAGACACAAAAAATGTCCTTAACATAAAGCCAGGTGCAGCAAGTATTTGGGAACTGGCATAAGTTCCTATATTTATAGATGGATTTGGCATACAGAACAAATAATCAAAGGCTTCATATGAAATTAAAAACAATGGGGACTGGAAAAATGTCTCAGTAGTTAAGAGCACTTACTGCTATTTCGGTAGACCCGACTTCTATTCCCAGTGCCCACACTAGGTGGCTTATAAACATCTGTTAACTCTATTTCCAGGGGATCTAATGTCTCTGGCCTCTGAGGTTCCCTGCACTCAGGTGTACACACACACACACACAGTCAGACACACACACACACACACACACACACACACACACACAGACACACACACACAGACACACACACACACGAGATCTGACAAAGAAACCTGAAGGCTCATTCATAATTCATTATACAATAATGCCAATATGTAAGTGCCTTGTAAGTTACCTGGCACACAAAAGACATACAATGACTTTTACATACATTGAAAAAACTTGTAAGGGCTTATCACATGCACAGAAAAAAAAAATACACATCTGGAGTAAAAAATCTCTTCCACAATTTGAAGACCATAAATTCTTTGACTTTTCTACCATAAAATCACAGTATGTAAAATGGGATCTCAAACAGATCAGAAAACAAGGGATCCCCCTTGGTTTGCTGTTACTGCTTTTCAAGTTTAATACAATTCAACAGAATTTACTCTAACTAGAGAACAGATAAAAGCATGAGCTCTTTACTTCAGAAGATCTGATTTAAAATGTACAGTACAGGCAATTGTGAGGCCCATCCAAATATGTAAGGTCAGGGTCAGGGTGCTGTGCATTGCCCAAACAAAGTCAGCTAGCTCCAGGAGTGGCTCTGGTACCTGATGTAAGTTTGAGGTTGGTTAACTACACACAGTTCACTTTTTTCTTCACCTTATTCCTGCAGCCAGAAGAGCACACTAGATCTCTTTATAGATGGTTGTGAGCCACCATGTGGTTGCTGGGAATTGAACT